CTTTCCCAACCTTACAGACCTAGGCTGAGCACTGGTACGGCTACAGCGACTCTCTGCACCTGCGGATCCTTTCATTTCGGGACTCAGAGCACTCAAGTTAACATAACCATACAACTTAAAAGAAATAGGAAATCAAAGTTTTTTAAAAAGACAAAAATTGAATTATGTTTGGACCTGGCAACAACTGTGACACTTCCCACTTTCAGGAATTCCTTTTTGATTCATTCAAGGCAACAGCTAGAATGCTTCCAAGATCAGAAGGCTTCTCTGATATTGCTCAAGTGGATGCAGGGCAGCAGTGATGTGGGGAGTGTAACTAGATCACTTGCCCCACGCTGCCTATGCTGCCTGTAACTTCTCTGAAAGAGTGAAAACGCTGAATCTAGGAAAGGAACGGAGGAAACATCTCAAAACTGGCTGCCGCGTTCAACTTTCCTGTTACTCACCATCTCGCTCAATTCTGTTACCAACAATCTAATCCAATTCACTTATTGATGGTATAATGAGGACAATGAAATTGCTTTTAAAGAATCAGTACAAGGGACTGACTTTTTTTATTAAAAGAACGCTGTCAGTCAGAAAGTGGATGAACTAAATGATAAAAGGATTTTTCTCCACCAGGTATAGAGAAGTCAAACTCTTTTCTTCTTAAATCTCAGATACTGTGGGATGGCACACCAGTTAATTAACAAACATTTACTGGATACACACCATATACTCTGAAGTACCATGCCAGCAATAAATCATGTTTCTGATCAAGCAATGATAGAGCAGATTCTGCTAAGGAAAACAAGAAAAAGCCCCTGGAAAGTAGTGTTAATGAAATGTCATTGCAGGTTACAAAATTACAAATAGTTGTGTAAATATTTATTTCATCATAAGCAAAATGTTACATTATCAGAGGTCATAATATTCTCAAAGAGTTCAACTACAAGGCAGTGGATGAAGATGTTGCCTGAAGCTGAGGATGTCCAAAAATTGCTTGTTCCCAATCAAGAGGATCAACTGTTTAAGTTATGCATCTGAATGTAGGTTACGTTTGTAGAGAGATAATTTAATAATATATACCACTTATTTCTCTGAATTTCAGAATGCTCAGGATTTTTCAAACTAAGCCATTTTAACAAATGTTTTAATGTTATATATCGATTACATTCCCTCAAGTTCTAAGTGAACCTATGTTTTCTATGGTATGGTCATATTTTAATCTTTACCACCTCTTTCTTTACCATATGGATTGCTCTTCAATATTCTTGAGTCTACTGAACTCAAGAGAAGTAAAAGTGACCTCTATACAGTTTGTGTCTATAAATTTGTTCAATAACTGAAATATAAATAACTGATTTATCTGAAATGTAGAAGTACTTTGCATGATTCAAAAATTCGTACAATGCTTTACTCAGTCTCACTGATGAAGTTCAAGATTTTAAACTACATGTATGTTAGGGTAAGTTTTCTTATAGTGGTTGAACTACAAATCTGGATCTTTAATGTATAACATATATAACTCAGCTCTGGGTTCTATTTTTAATCATGACCCTGGCTGGGGGTAAGAACCAGACTCTATGAAGTGAGCAGCAATGGCTTACACTGAAGAAATCATAGGAAAAGTGGAATCATAAGAACTACAAGAGTTTTGTCTAGAAATATTTAGAAACAACTGAATGGAATCTCTAAGACTATATTCAATACCAATAGCAAAAAAACCTCCATATACAGAGATTTCACCTACAGATGGTTGAAAAGTGATTTTCTATGATCCCATAATACTTTATATAATTATCTGTAATTAAATTAGCACAAGATAAAAATAATGTACTTAAAATAATATAAAGTATTCAAAACAACTGCTAGGCAAAACAACATTCTTTTTCATAAAAGGAACTGTCATATATAACCAAGTGGCAAAACAGAATGGAGTGAGCTGTGGTTAAATGTAAATCCTATAGCAATGAAGTCATTTGTATTATCCTTACTTCTTTGAATAAATTCAGATGACAGTCCTATTTCATTTCTTCATTCAGTTTGGAGGCCAGATGGCATTAGAATCATTTACTTCACCTTGTTGTGCTTAATTACTACAATCAACACACTATTTTCCAAATTAATCATAACAAAGTAATTTCATTAGTAACACAGCAGGCTGTTGAATTATTAGCATCATAACAGTTTGCAAACAATTAAACTTTATTTGAACCTTAAAAATTTGCAGAGTGGAACATTATTGTAAGATCTAATGGCAATAGAGTACAAATTCAGTACAGAGCAAATAATCAAGCAAAATGCTATGTAAAATATGACTTACAATCACCTTTGAAAAAAATTAGCTCTCTAAATGTTCATAGAAAAACAAATAAAAGCTAAGCAAACATAATGGGAACATAGCAATTAGCATATTTTCTAACAAGCAATGTTGTTTAAATTCACATTAATGATATTATGATGATCTTAGAAAGTGTGTGATATATTGTCAAGGGTGTAAAGAAAACTTTCTCCCTCCTATGATACAAACGATTTCACCAGATGAATATAAAGGAGTCATGAGTTGAAAGTAATGATTGTTTTTCCTGTCATTCCAATTAAAAATTTTTTGTTTCTTTTCTTATCTCCCACCTGTATGCAACTAAAAAGGAACAAAGGGCAGAGGAGCTCTGGACACAAGTTAACACTTTTTTTTCTGTATTGTCACCATTCACAGAGACTGTCTGGCATCAGTTTGCAAAGGACTCCCTCTCCTGGATTAACTGTAAAAGGAAGCAGTAATCTTCTAAATACTTTGGAGTGAGTCCGCGCCTGAGTGGGGGAGGGGTTTCCAAGTGGGTTCCTATGCAATGAAAAGCTGCTGCCATCTACTGGCCCAGGACTAAAATCTTCACTTGGATCAGAAGCACAAAATGTATCCCTTACAAGGAAGTCTACATTTACAGTGGAACCCACAGTTGCTTTCACTTTTCAATCTCTCAGGTCTTGAAAACAATCCACTACATTCATCCTTGGTTGTCTCACTTTTGCCAAGACGATTTCAATCTATTCCAATGGCTCTATGTCAGAACAAGATTAACCAGTGCACAAATTAATTTCTGAAAGCTTTAACTTGATAATGTCTAATTAATTGATATAAACTAGAATTTACCTACAATCTCCCAAATTAATAGATATATTTTTATATGTGAAATCAGATAATCACATGAAGGCATGAAGGTGATAATCACATGGGTTAGGGAGGGGATAACAGTAAAATATAAACTCTGAAATATTACTTGTAGATAATTTTTATAAATAATAGATGTTTTTAAATATTATCAACTCATTTGCATGTTTAGAATCTTTATCTTTAAAGCAAAGATCTGAAAAGTTCCATAAAAGTAGTATCTTCTAATCAATGATTCACTATTAGCAGATTATATTTACTCCAAATAATTATCCAATCAGTAGTATATTTTGATATATATACATCACACTGGTACCTTGTAGACATTTAAAATACCTTTGATTTCAACCATACATAAAAAAGTAAACCTATAACTCCACAAACCTTGCTCTGGAGTACAACATACACCTCCTGGGTCAGATTGACACCAACCTTCCACTCACCTGCTGGTACATGTTCCCACCATGATTTCCACACCCTCCTCTCTGAGCCTTCCTTCTCTTCTCATTGCTTTGAGAAGTTCAGAGCTGTACTTCTCAAGTCTGTACTAGTAGTTTTGGGGTAGGACTTTAACAGCATAGGAAGGATCAGGCAAGGTAAAAGTACTTGGTTATGCCTTCTGATTTTGAGAATACATTGAGATTCTTTATGCCATTTCATTTGTGGCAGAATGGGGCCTCACATAAATTTTTTGTTTTATTAAATTTAAAGAAAACTACAGTAGAAAATGTTGGCAAGCCCATTATATAACCAGGGTATTTATTACTGGTAAAGGGCTTTGTACAAACCATGATTCTGGTCTACACATGTGTTGCAGAAGGTGATAGCAACTATCATTTGCAATTCTACCATTTTTCTTTCTCATGGCTATATTTAACATAAAGTAAACTTGCCAATCAGTAATTCTTCCATGAAAACATGTTACTACTGTGTGAAAAATAAATACTAAGATGACTCATCTACAAAGTTTTAACAAAGCTACATTCTTTAGATAGCATTTATCAAAAACTTGTGAGATATATTCTATCAAATTTTCTTAAAATTATATTTTATATTCTAAAAACATTAATATCCAGTATTAAGAGAAATTACAACTCATACTAGTAGTAGCAATGACTGTGATACATACAAAACAGTGCTGAATTCCTCACGTAAATCAAATGAGTAAATAAAAACTACTGATTTATTTCTTTGCAAAATAGCAACAGGTATAACTTTATTGCTTACTTCTAATTTACATTAATATCCTTCATTTAATTTCACATCAGAGGAATATTACAATGAATGCATAAAACAACAAAGACAAATGATGCTCAACAAAACAAAGAAAGGTTATGAACTGTCATTCATGCTTTTACAGTGATTCTCAATCCAAAAATTTGCAGACTAGCAGAGGAATCTTCCTTTTTTGCGAGCAGAAAGAGAAAGCTGCATTTTAATTTTTCTCTTCAGACAAAATGTTGATTTTTCCCTGCCTAGAAAAAAATTACATGTTTAGCCAAGGAAAGAAAATGAATGTTTACTCAATATTTTGTCAGTTCAGCTCCTCAGAAAGACCATAAGAGTGGTCTTTTACTAAAGACCACTAAAGAGGAGGAGGTTGTGAAAACAGCTGGTTATTAACAAAGGGACTTTCTGTAAGTAATCTATTTCCAAAGTAAATCCTATGAAGTTATTTAAAAAAAACTAAACCAGATTTTGTAAAACAAGATAATGATTTGGGAGTATAATCTTTGTGTTATCAGAAAACTACAAAGACTTTTAAAAAGCAAAGACTCATAACGCAGAGACCAAGAGAACATATGAGCTATTACAGAATATTGGATTAAAATGTACTTACCCAGGACTCTCAAATATCATACATCTCCATTATGTAGGCTTTCGGCACCAAGCCAATGGCTCCCTTCATTTCTCCTACCCACCAGCCATATCTATTGTATTCCTAATTGAAAACAATATGCAATATTAACCTTTAGACTGGTGTAAGTACAATGTCCTTTGTATGCAACTTCTTGGAAATGTTATTTCTTTTTATAAAGTTATAAGAGCTTTAGCTGCAAATTGAAACATTTTAATCTTTTTTGCTTCCAGACACTTTAAAAATGCTGTTAGGCAAAGATTTAAATTAACATATAAGACAAAGCCTGTTTATTTCATGGTGTAGAATAGAAACAGTCACTTAGGATAGGAACCTGGTAGATGAAACTACATAAGGAGATCGGCTCTCTGGGCCCCTTTCCCTTCTCTCTCCCCATGTCTGTCTGTCTGTCTGCCTGTCTGTCTGTCTGTCTCTCTCTCTCTCACACACACACACACACACACACACACACACACACACACAGAGCCTGGGGGACACCTTTTTATATGCAAACCACAGTGTTAGAGGCTCCTAGATCACTGCCAGGACACTTGGGAAACTATCTTTGCCTTCAAGGAGCTTACCATCTAGCAAGGACAGCCTTTATTTTTTTCCTTTCACAATAAACGACTTAATTCCCAGTTAAACTCATACGACCAAAAATGATTTAGAATGTAGAAGTATGCTCTTTCTCAGGAAACTGTAATACATGAGTGTAGCCATTTTAAACAGATAAATTAGAGAATTAGGAAACACTAATAAGATATCCCCAAACCAGCTTTCCAACAGAATTCACAAAAGGGTTCCTTTTCAGAAGCTTCCTGAAGGCATTTATTGTTCCTCTGATTGATCACAAACTACATTAGGTAAAGGATGAGTAGAAGGAATTTAAAGGTGGCATTAGATTCACCCTTATGGGGAGGATCAATAGGAAATAAAAGTATCTCAAGTTATAATGGCAAAATATTAATCCAGCTTTAAAACAAAGTGACTGATGAGTCACTTTCGCATTTATTTTGCTTGTGAGCTGAACCTGGGCTTCCTTTTCTTCCCTTTGCTCCACTGAAGACACACCACTGGCTCCAGGCATCGTGAAAACTGTACCTAATGTTCATTTGTCTGCCAGATTGACTAATGTATTTTTATCTGAAATTTATTTATGTTTAGTGAGATACAAACAAAGTAAAATGAATTACAAGTTTCAAGAATAATATCTTCCAAAAGCAATACTCTGAAAAGGCACCACAGGACCCAAATTTAATTTTTCATAGAAGATAAATTTTTAAAATCAATCCCCAAAGTAATTCAATAGGCTATGATTTCCAACATCTGAGTCATAGATAAATGTGCATATGCATATCAAGTTATATGTGGGGAGGGAATGTTAATACCCAGGACAGACTTAATGTTTGTATTGATGAGTAACTATTATATTGTATTGTATTGATGACTAACTATGCTATTGACCATCAGAAAGGAAAATCATACAATTCTTCCATACAAATGTAGAAATTCCTAGGTGTGTACTGATATGTAGTCTATCAATAAAGAGATTACAGGATTAAAATCTATAAGTACTTTTAAAACAATGGGCTGTATCAGAATTAGTTTTTTTTCTGTAACAATAAGGTGGAAGGAAAAGGCTGGGGAGAGGAAGGGAAGACCTGATTCTAATGAGGGCACAGTTCTGGTTTATGAAACAGTAGACTCAAGATTTTAAGTTCAAAAGTTTCCTGATAAGTGTGAACTTAGTTGACAAAATTCTCTAAACGATGAAAATAGTTTGAAGCCCAGAACTCAATGATAACAACTATAATCTGTGCAGAATATATTTATCAGAAGAAAATACCAACTTACTGAAAGCTATGATTAGCAACCATTATATCCTAATAGGTACCTAATAAAACTGCCCTTTTCAATTTTTGAGGCAATGAATACAATTAGAGCCTAATGCTTAACAAAACAAATGTATTTCACCTTGCAGAGGCCAAAGGCCCACAGTGTAAGATTTCAGAATGAATACCTAACAGAGTAAGTCTAAGTGTGAAAGCTCTTATCCAATGCCTATCTAAGTTTTTCCCAACTGATTATTTGGAAAGTGTAAAGGAACTAGGCCCCCAAAGGGTAGAAAGAGAAAAAGAATACATTTAGTGAGACGGTACAGTATGACTCAATCCTGCCTTCAGAGAATAGCCTGCAATCTGGATTTCAATGTTTAGATTCAAGTTATAAACCAGAAAATTCATATTACTTTATAATATTCTGCTTTGATATTATAATCTGTACTCTCAATTAAGTACGTATTATTGTTCTCAAAAAGCTCACTCGCATTCAAATTTAAGAAACTGATTTCCAACAAATCACTTCAACAAAGGACTTCACACATGAGAGAATTTTACATGACAGTAACTGAGAAGATTCATTAAATAGAGTATAGTACTAAACATCAGAGGAGTTTATTCAGCTGTAAACACATCCCTTAAAAGTCACATTCTAGGAAAAATATAAGTTTTAGGCTAAAATAATCCTAAACGCTTCACTTAATTAAAATTTAAAATAATTGAAAAGCCTATGAAATACACACCTTGTCGAAGTACTCTAAAATATCACAGGTTTAAATCAGAAAAGAGTAAAAATAAAAAACCAGAATGTTTATTACTCTACATTTGTAAAGAATTCCATATAGCACTCCTGTGTGGAATTAAGAGGTAAGATAAAATATAGTGAGGTAAAAATCTAGTAGGCAAATTTATGGATTTACACCGCAGCCATTAGAGTATGTCAGTGAGACTGCAAACACATACGCTTTTACTTTTATCATCACTATCCTCTGTATGAGCCTCCTGAGCAACATGAATCCCAATTAAACCATTTGCAGCCTATAAATTGGAATGAAGATGCTTCTTGGAGTATGGTATCCTAAACTTCAGCCTGCAGAATTCAATAGCACACACGATTTTCTTGGGAGGAAGAAAATATGCCTTCCTCTGCCTTCCCTGTTTGCTGCCCCCGAAATGTGATTATGAATGATATATTACTTACAGTGGAAAATAATGCAATCCATACAATGTTTTCTCGCTGTCCACATACTAACTGAAGTACTGGTTAAAAAGTCACAGGTGGGTCATGAAAACAACAACAACAACAAAAAAAAAACAGCCCTCAAACCTCATCTTGTTAATAAAAAATAAAGAGACAAAAATCATACCAGGCTGCCATCTAAATCTCTGAAAGGTTAGGGAGCATCATGTCATCTTGATGGCACATGAACGAGATCTCAGGTACAAGAAGGTCTGCCATCTGGTATCCTTCACCCTCTGCGGCTCTTAACATCAACTGAAATGCTAACATAGGCAAGTGACTGTACTTCAGGAGGACTGATAAAATAATGAAGAGTCCTTTAATCTACAGGAAACCATTCTAGTCAATTTATAAGAAATATTGCATCCCTTTGTAGGACGTGTAATTATTTTCTATTAATCATGTGCTATAAAGCTACATTATGCGGTTATTCTGTTATCACTAGAAAGAGGCCTGCAGTCAGCTTCTGACAATGTTAGGTAATTACTAACACAAAGCTTCTTTCTCCTCCCGCGGTAATGCTATCAAGATCCAGAGGTGTAGTGATGCTTAGTGTATAAAAATAGTACTCAAAAGAAATTCAATATCTGTAAAATGGATGGCTTCAAGGCAAAAATGTAATGTGGCAGTCACAGAAGCAAAAGCACCAAACTTGCCCAATAATTCGAGAAAATAATGAGAAAGCAACACTGAACAGTTGGGATCTAATACCTCCGTTTTCAGTTTTCACATCATTAAAAGAGTTTTTATTTTGTAGTTAAAATTTTATGCCCCAAATAATCATTTTAAGCAATAAATTAAGGTGATTATGTAAAAAGGTAGGAAAAAAGGACTAGTTTTGATAAAAAACAGAGACTTTATCCAACACAATAGCAAAGGTATGGCTGTGTTTAATTATTAACTAAATCTTCTCTCTCTGCTGGTGTTTTATTTTACACTTAAATAAGAACCCCCCTGCCCCAATAAGACCACAGCATTTCTTTAAATCCTTTTCAGCACCATGATTCTCATTTCTCAAGCATGCTAATCCACTTTCTACAAACCATATGGTAAAAGAATGCTGCCTTTAACAGAAACTTGGAACATTAATAAGATTTTGTGATGTACCACCCTTTCAGAAAGGAGTTACCAATCTATCTGAAAGCAACAGGTGTTAGAAAGGTTAAAAGACTATATTCCTTTCTCCAAACATATATCTGTGCTTAAAAGCATACCAGTCTTGTGCAGAAATAAAGGTAATTTTATTCACAAAATATAAACTACACTGAGTTTCAGAATGAGTGGACTTTACCATTGTTTTCCAACTATTCACTGTGATACTTTCAACTTTTCAAATTGTTCGTGAACACTGTGGTATCATGAAAACGTAACTATTTAAAATATGGAAATATTTTTTCTTCAAGGCTACCTCTTCAATCTCTTCTTTTTACTGTTTCTGATTAGAAACTTTATAAGAATCATTTCTTGTACATCCATCATTTCAAAAGTTCTCTTAAAATGCACAACAGGAACTTAACAACCTCGACATTTTACTATTATTATCTACACATTAATTGCTTGACTCTTAGTCTCCTAACCTCATTCCTTAAATGAGGAAATGGACACTAACAATCTCTAAGCTCCTCCATTATGTTTGAAAATCACCATTCATGAACCTGCTTTAACACCCTAAGTCTCTTAGCAACTTACAGAAACCAACCTCATTACTTAATAATTTACTATGCAGCTGTGAGTCTGAGTTACTCTAATTCAAGGAATTCCTATTTTTTTCTCCAGGCACAGCAAATCCATTTTTAAAGCAAGAGAGATAGAAGACAAGCAAGAAAGGTGATAAGAAGGACTTAGTTCCTGTGATCAATTTTAGTTTATGTTCTAGAGTCAAGACACATTTAATTCAAATTTCTACCCAGTCAACATTTACAATACCATAAAGTAAAAACTGATATGCAGACTGATGGTTTGTAGATACCGTTAGGCAAAGAAAGAGCACATAGCGCTCAGCA